GCTTAAATTATAAATTAACTCTTTGCAAGTTTATAAATTTATTTGTAAGTTTTTATAAGATTTAATATTATAAATAAAGGAATTAATTTAAATCTACATAAATTACTTTTCTATCTAACATTATCTCTTATTTAGAATTTGTTATGATACCCTATATTAACTTATCATTAAGTTCATTATTATAAGTTCAATTAAACATATTTAAGACGTAATAAATTGTTAAGTTGATTCAGTATAATAGATACCTGTAGGACTTAGAGAAATTCCTAAGGTCAAAACTCTAATGTGTAAAATTAACTGCTACAATCTTTCAACTTAAATGTTAAGATAACCAAAATGAATCCAGTAATAATATAATCAAAATTTCATTATTTATTAACTGCATTTTTTGTAATATAAAGTTATGAACCTCTTAAAAATAACATTATATTTTATCTATTAAGAATAAAGTAAAAATATCAGTAAAGTCAGAACATTTAAATATTCATATGGCAAACTTGTCTTTTAGTTTAAATTATTTTTATTATTTTATTATATGGGGCCTTTGCAATAGAAGGGAGAAAACTCCAAAAAAATTAAAATTTTAGTTTATAAGCCAAAAATGTTCCAAATACTATAATTTGTTCAGATTTATTATTAACTCATTTTTTATTTTTTTTTGAGTTTCCTCTCTTTCTATTGCAAAGACCCCATATAATTTATTAATTACCTGTAAATTTATTAATTGTTTTTTTTTTCTTTTATTACAAATAAATTTTTAATTAAAGCTAATTTACTAAATATTAACTGAGTATAAAACTGAATTAGAAATCCAATAATATGAATAATACTTTTAATTATAAATTCTATCAGTATCGTATATGATATTATATAATTTATATAATTTATATGACTTGTCATAAGTTATTTATCATTTAAATAGATCTTATGACTTATGACTTTATTATATATTTCTTAATTTAGATTAGTATTATATTTGGCTTCATAAGTAGACTTTCTTATAATTAGCTATTGCAGATCAATTTAAATTATATATTATTTATATAGTTTAAAGTACTTTTTCAAAAAATGGTGTTTCTTTTAGTAAAAAAAATTTTTGCTTATAGTTTGATTTTTTAAAACATTAAATAATTGCTTGCAAAAATAATCTAAAATAATTTTAATTTTAAAAAGTTTATTTAGCGGTAAAATATTATAATAATAAAGTTTAAAGGTCTTTATATTATATAAAACTTGTTTTAAAACTTCTAATAATACAAAAAAAATTTTAAAATTTATTTGTATAATATAAAAAGAATAAAACCATTAAATAACTAATAATTTATTATATTTTAATTTACTTGTATTGCTTTTATAAAAGATATAAAATATTATATATATTATCATTATATGTCAAATTTGTATATGGTCTAAATCATGTGATTATATTTATTATTTTATTATTGATCAACCTTTTTATTAATCGTACTTATTATAAAATGCTGATTAATATTTTAAACTAATTAAAAGAAAGTCTTCTTATAATATTTGATTGAAATTATTAATCAAATAATTTTTATAAAAGGAAATTTAGTTACACAAATTCTTAAAATGATAAATTTGGGATTTTAAAAATATTACACAAACATTTTTAATCTTTGTATAATATTATACATCTACTAAATAAGGCAATTTCTTAATTATAATTCTGGTCAGAATTAGTTAATCTATATAATTTTATAATTTATGATATTTAGTCATATAACATATGGAATTAGTACTGAAAAAAGGGACCAAATCAAAAATTTTTTCAAAAAATGTTCTTAAGTCTAATCATCTTATCTAGTTTAGAATTTTTATTATTTAAAAAAATAATTTTTTAATGATTTGGTCCCTTTTTTCAGCATTCACCCTATATGACTATGAAGTCATAAAAATTTTCATATGACTATGTCATATGCTAACTACTTAGCCTATTAATTCTTTTTGATATATATCAAAATACTTTTCTTATATATTAATGGATAGTTGTAATTGAAATAAAGGCAAAAGTAAACAGAATAATTTTTTGTAATTCTGTCCATAAATAATTATAATAAAATTAACTAAACTTTTTAACAGTATCCCAAAAATTCTTAATATAATTAAATTCACAATAGAATTTGAGATAAAATATAACTTGATATTTAATTACAATAATAGCCTTTTTTAGCTATTCCTTTTATTCTAAAATCTGGTTGCTCATTCATTAATTTTTGTGTTTCTTCTAATTTTATTTCTTTATTTAGTTACAATCCCTTCTATTAAAACTTATTTTAATTCTTTTGACTATTTACATAGTTTAAAAATATGATAATCTAATAAAAAGATCAAATCCTATTAAATCCTTTTATTATAAAATATGCTGCGTATTTTTGATTATTTTTTACTAAAGTTGAGATTTATGTGTTTAATAATAAAAGCATCTAATGAAAAAGCAATATGACTTGATGTATTATCAAATGCAAATAATATTTAACATTCTGAAAAATATACTTTAAAAATAGGTTTAACATGTTTAACTATCTGATTTAATAAATCTTCTACCTTTCACTAACTATTATTATTTTTCTTAGATATATTATAACATAAGCTTTTCAAAAAATTGTTTGATACTTGTTTTTTATTAAGAAGTGTAAAATGATCACAAATATTAATTAAGAAATCACTAATAAGTATTAAATGTTTATTACCTTTTTTTCGTAAAGGCTCTCCATTAGAAATCTAAAGACTTTAGCTTTCATCATAAACTGAAAAAATGTATTTATCATATGAAATAAGAATAAGTAATTGCACATTATAATCTGACTAAGTTATTTTCTTCAAATTATTTTTTGAAAAAATAGGTATTCTTTTCTTAAATTTACTCATTTTTTCTAAAAATATTTTTGATAAGTAACTATATTTTCTCTTTTATATTTATCTATATATATTCCCTTTTTCACTTTATATATATATTCTAATTCTTTTAGATAATTTCTTATAGTATTAATATGAATAGTTAAAAATGATGCAATTTAAGTCTTAGTAAAATAATTTTATTCATTTATAACATTTATAAAGTAATATTCTATTTATGTTCTTAAATATATAGTTATACTTAAAAAAAAAATCTTCTAATCTTAGAAAAAGCTTTATATTTTAACATAATATCTTCTACAAGAATAAGAAATATTGCAGATTATTACATATTTATATGTTTAAGATTAAATATATCTATATATTCCTTTTTCTGTTATATTAGTAATAATATTACATATTTGTTTTCATATTTAAATAGTTATTTTTTATGTTTAAGATAAAGATAAATATCATTTAAATATATCTAAACTTCACTATTTACATTTATTTGATATTTATTTTTAGATTTTTAAGAACAGTTAAAATTTTATTATGTAAATTATAACCCTAAGGTTTATTATCTAACTATTTACTAAATCATCATTTACTATATTAATAGATTTCTTGATATCTCAAAAGATATATAAAGTATGAGTCACTTTTGCTATTTCACACTATTACCTTTTATTGCATTTTGAATTTTCAATATAGCATAACTTACGTAACTTGTGAGAAGTTTTTTTCTGATAATATTTTTTAGCTACTTTTTAAAATTTTTTATAATACTATAGTATTATTATTTGTCACTAGTCATTATAACTTAAAAAATCATCTGAAAAATTATTATCATTAGAATCATTATAAAGAAATACATCATTAATATCAATACATTAGTGTAATTGATATGCAATATCTCTTAATTGTATTTTATATTTTGTTAAATGTAGCATATTATCCTTTTTCTAATAAAATCTAATTATTAACTGAATATAATAGATATGTAAATATGTTTTATTTATTTAATGTTATTTAATAAATTTTTACAGAAAAAATTTTCTAACTTCCAAAAACAAAAATCTATTGATAAGTAAAAAAAATATTGAAAAAAGAGAATTTGTGAGAACTAATTTTAATAAGATATTACATTTATTACTTAATTACTTAATAAACTTATTTGTATCAGATGTTATAATTGATTATACAGTATATGAATTCATAAGAATTAACTTTAATAATGTATCATATTTATTATTTAATCAAACTTATTCATATCAGATATTATTCTAGAATCTAAAATAAATTAGCTTATTTATATCTAAAAAATTTGATCATTTATCATGTATATATATATAGAATAATAAAATTACAAGATTGCTATATCACGTGATAATAAATTAACTTTTCAAATTTGATCACTTAAAAATTTATTTATTGGGACTAAGTTTTAATATTAATAATCAAATTAATTATAATATTAGATTTAATAATAAAATTATATATATAAGATAATAATAATACAAAAGAATAGTTGTAAAAAAAATAAAAGAATAAATTAACTTATAAAATACTAATACTTTTTTATATAAACAAAATCAGTTTAATTTATTAATTATTTTAACTTTTTAATTAAAAAGAATTAAATGTATTATTATTATCTTTTATAATAAACTTCAAATATTAATAAAGTTATTATTCAATTTAGAGATCTTAATAACAGGTTAGAGAATTTTAAATTTAAATAGCACAAAATCTATCATTATAGTAATATATTTATAACTATAACATTGATAGATTATTGTATTATCATAGTAATCAAAAATGTCTTGTAATTAACTTCAGGTTGATGTGGCTAGAACTTTCAGGAATGCTGCCTACTGAACAGCCTCCATGTTGTTGGTATCTATAGTTGCTTGTGAACGTTTTCAAGATTCTGATATTTGTATCAAATTAGTCTGTGCCTGCATTTGAGATACTCTTTCTATTTACAAATTTTTCAGTCTTCTGTTTGCTTATAATACAGGCTCTGTAATTATCAAATCAATATACATATTTTTGCTTAGCTATCCCTGAGTATGGTATTAGCTTATAACTTAATAGTTTTGTGCTGAAAGTCATTTTGTAAAGATGACAGTTAATTCCTGCTAGTATACAGACTCACGCAGAATAGGCTGATGCAATTTTTCATCAACTTTTACATTTGCTGTCTTGAATGAACAATCAGTTGCTGCTCTGATGTAATTCTTTTCAAAGATATAAATGATCTCTTTCAAAGTCTTGAGTAAATTGATACTCTCATCCTCTTACTTTATGAGTGACACAAGAGGAATCTTATGTATCTTAGATATAATAAACTGTAAGATCAGGGAGAATAACAATGGTAAGGCTATCATATACATATTTTCATCAGAGTTCAGAGGTATCATAACTCCTTCTGCAGCAAAAAATTCATATCATTTGACTTTCTCAATATCAACCATATTAATCGGGTTAAGAATTGATAAAAATTTCTATTGTAGATAGCTCATTATGTTATGATTACTAGGTTTTCTCAGTATTTCTATTATCCTGTTAAATGTCACATATTTTTCAACTGCTTCTAATAATAACTTGACAATATATCTCTATCAAGAAGTGAAACTTATCATAAATACCTCATTAATACAATGAGCAGAAGAACAGACAACAATATCAATCGCTTGATCACAAAGATATATTAAATTATTATGTCTAATAAAAATATATCATGAATGTATAAAGTTTTTTCAAGTTACAGAATAAAACCTCACTTACCCATTAGTTTAAGTATAAATGTCATCAATGATCCCATTCTCAAAAGCAAATTGCTAATCATTTATAAATTCATTGAAAAGGTTTCAGACTTGTTCTCTGGTGAAGCTTGATATGCTGAAATTTTTAATCACGTTAAAGGGTGATAACAATGCATTTGACTGGTTTAGTTTCATAATAATAAAGATACCAATAGAGATAATGAATGTATGATAAATTTGTTATAGTCATTTCTCATTCTACAGATTATCTGCAAAAACTCGTTGCAAAGATCATGAAAATTATTACCATTGTCACTAGGTTCATTTTCATTTATCTTAACGTTTAAGTTAAAAGGCTGTGGCAGCTGATTCTACACGTTGGAGTTTCTGACCTTAAGATTTTCTCTAAGTCCTATAGGTATCCGTTATACTTGAATCAACTCGGCAACTTATTACGTCTTAGAATTTAAGATATGTTAGTCAAACTCATAATGATGAACTTAATAGCAAGTTAGTGTAGTGTATCACAACAATCCTAGGTGAAGGACAACGTTGAAGGGAAAAGTAGTTTGTATAGATTTAAATTGATTCCTTTATTTATAACTTGAAACTCATAAGTAACTTACAAATGAGTTCTTAAACTTGCAGAGGAGTTAATTTACAACTTAAGCAAAAAGCTATTCTATTTATACAAAATTAATTTGCTATGGCTAACTACTTACTACGCTATAAATTAACTAAATATAGATATATATTTCAATAAAAATATACTTAAATATAATAAAATAATAAATATAATGTAAACTATAAAAATAATAAAAAGAAATAAAATAAATTACAGATGTTAAAGAAATTATAGGCGAAACAGAATAAACAGACTGTATAGAAAATACAGAAGAAATAGACGAATCAGGTGAATTTTGCAAATCCTTCAAATTGAATAAATTAGCCTGATTTGTCAATGTAATATGTTAATCAAGATCTTCCTTAATATGATCTACATAAAATTAAATCTAATGATTTTGTAAATCATTTTTCTAAGGCAAATTTTCAACGCTGACACTATGAATTATGTCAAATTCATTCATAAAAAAAACCACTGGTTGATTCCATTGTTCTTTGCTTTTGAAAGAATCAATTTTCATAAAGCATTAGCAAATGTCTTGCTATCCTTAATGATAACCAAGCTGAGTTTACTGTTAAGATCATTATAGAAAGATGATATATTATTAAAGATAATATATTCAAGGCTTATGCTAATTAGAAGAAGTTCACAATTAGTAACCAATCTCAAATCACACAGATTCTTGATCAAAGCAAGCAAGCTTACTAAAGACACATGTAGCTTAGGGATTCCAGAACACTTTTAGTTAGCATTACCCAGCTGGATTTGCCTGAGACACGTGATCTAAACATCCTAATATATTAACTGTTAATTATATTATTAATCAGAACCTGGGTTCATTCCTTCTGATCTATATAGTAGTAAATATCACATTGATCTAAATACATAATGATGTTGATGTGAAACTTTTTTACTTATTTTTGTTCAACTAATAATCAGAGAAAAATGTGTAAATATGATAAACAAGTTCTCTGATGATTACAAATAGTCTTACTTGTACTAACATTTACTTTTTTCTTTTTTTCAAACTCAACCTCTACAGTAATAGTGAGTGAAGTGCAAAATTTCTGTTTTAAGCATTAAACCAAATGTAAATTTTGTGAAGAAAAATATCTGATGAGTTATCAAAAAGCATAAGTGTGGAATGAAAAAGCACAAATTAGTCAATGTTACTTAAGAAAGACACAGATATAGATAGATAGAGAATAAAGAAAAGACAGTAAAAAATGAATAGATATAAGAGATAATATGGAATATACAGTATAAGTATTATAAATAAAGAATCAACTTCAGTTATAACATTTTCTTAATAAATTCATAATAAAGAAAATCATATTACTGTTTACTCTGTGCTTTATAGTACCCAGATATTTTCATATTACTAAAAAATATGAGTACTATACAAAGTGAATTTATAAAGTAAATTTTTTATGTATTAAGAAACAGGAACCGTGTGAGTACTGAGTAAATTATTGACGAAAATCACGTGATAGACAGAAAATACTCACATAACCAAAATTTACTCAATACATGAAAATATATAATTTTTTGCTTCGCTCAGAACATTTATACCCTAGAATATTTTATATAGAGAGTTATATACACTGGAGTACTATATAACGTGCTTTACAGTATATACTATTCTGTTCCTGAAATCTGAATCATAAAGTCATTATCTGTTTGAATAGCATTAAATCTTTCTTGCAATAACACCACCTGCTTATACCACCTTTTCTTTTCAGCCTCCAGCTTTTCCTCTTTTTTCTCCATCCTAGCCTTTTCTTATTCTTTTCATCAAGACCTTTTTATTCCTTCTTAGCTTCTTCAACCACAGCTCATCATCCACCTCTTCTCAAATGTCTTCAACATCATCTTTGCTTCTTTCAACCATTTCTTTGCCTCGTTCAACTCTCGTCTTATTACTTTAATGGTTGCCATTTATTTTCTTTTTTGAGTTTTCATTTGTTCAGGCGTTTGTGCTAATATAAACTGATCAAATGATGTATTAGAACATTCTAGTCCTTTTAATTAGACAGTTAATTTTATCGATCAATTAAAATTGTGAATTTTAATAATGAAGTCACATGATTTTTAAAGCTATTACATTAATTACGAGTTAGATAGATAAATCAAAAAAAAGTGTAAATGTTTAATAATAGTTTTAATCATATTACATTTGAAAAGGATACACTAGTTACAATCTAAATCCTATTAAGTAACTGAATATACATAATACTTTAGATTAAATTAACAATCATAGTCAATAGTATCTTAGTCTATAATATAATGAGAAATTAAAGAGTATTAATAAAATGAAGAAAATAATTCTCTAAAGGATTAATATTAGAATGTATAAACTGTAAAAATAAATTTAAAAATCTTTAAGAATTTCTTTGTTTTATTTATAGAATAAAGATATGTATGAGAAAATTCTTAAAATAGTATTACAAGGTATTATATGGGTTTTGGAATTTTTTTAACAAAAATTGAGATATTTATTATTAGATTAAAATGAATAAAGCTATTAACTTCAAAACCTGATTTTTCTAGAATCCTCCTATATATTGTCATATCCAAGATTAGTTCTTGTTATTATTCTGATACCTACGAAATGTATAACAACAATTTTTACATAATAAATCGCTGCTGCGTCACTAAATTTCCTTAATATTTTCAGATATTATTTAATCATTCAGATGGATTGTAATACATCAATAATAGGTAATACTAAGCATTGCTAAGTAAAACTACTATTTCCTGCATGATCTCCGGAGAGAATCAAGGCTCTATTAAGCAAAGCTCAGAGAAAGATTCCCCAAGTGTCATTTTCATCTCGATCCATTACAGTTCTACAATTTTGGCAATTATACACCTCGGACCCTCCAATTTTTTGAATTTTT